GTGTTTAAATACAGAGGGAATATTTTGAAAGCACTTAAATCCTTAACTGGAGATCAAGACTCCTGAGCATTAGGAACTCTATGCAAAGAAGCCTTCCCCTCACAGCCGTACTATAGGCATAAGGGGGAAAAAAAAAAAAGCAAACAGGGCAAGAGGGGAAGGACAGGCAGTACATCAGCCATTTTATAGGTCACATTTATGAGTAGGCATTATATGCAGTACAGAGTCAGAGTTCAGCAGCCAGCCAGTGTAGTACAGAAAGGTAAAGCATGAGTAAGCTGCACAGAACCTTCAAGGTTAAGGAAGCAGGAAAGAAACTGTCACAGAATTGTTTCTATGAGAAGCTTAAGATCTCCAAATAAGTTCACACACTTTAAAGCTCATGTGTGCAGAATAACGCAATATGGTAGCTCAGGCTTATGCTGTGCAGAGCCGTTTGAGACAGCGTGATTTAAGCAGGCAGCAAAGGAGATGGCACATATCTTCTTGATGTGCAAGGCTGAAGAAAACAGATTGTGAAATAGTCACATTTTTTGTATTACTCTTAATCAATTTCAAACATGCTCTATGGTTTGAGTAGAGAAGCAAAGAAGGGAAAAGTATGAGGATGCTTACCCTGGATCCTGACACAGCCATATCCAGTTCAGTGCTGATGCCAACACTCGAAACTTCATCAGTATGCCCATAAAGGATCTGTAATGGCTTAGATGCCAGGCCTACAGGCACTCCTCCCTGAGAGTAACAAAAAGTGCAATGACACATTCTCTTGCAGCTGAAGGACAAACAAAAAATAAATTTCTGGTATCTTCAGAATCAGTTGTGTGAGATCTATATTTGACATAGGCCAAAACCAAAGGCATAACTCATCCATTCCAATTTCATTTTATTGCCTTTTATGTCAGCAGGCCTATTTACTGAAACCACAAGAAGGAATGAACATAGAGTTACTACATGGATGTGACAGAGTTACTTAGCTGAGTTGTTTCTATCCCTTCAGATGTCCACGTGTGCAAGGACCACAGTGAGCAGTCCTAACAGGAGTTATTCACCCACCCATCCACCCACTTTTTCTTCACCTGCTGTGTATCTGAGCTTGTTCAGTTCTTACAGTTTACCCTGAAATTAAGCACTATCTTCACAGTCAAGCTTAAAGATGCTGAAAGCTGTTTTGCTTAAAATTACAGCAACTCTATTCCATTTTCTAAGGAAAAATAAGGAAATAATCCTTCTCAGTGACTACCAGTAGTATGATATGCAAAGGAAATCTTGTAATAATGCTCATTAAAAAATAGTCATTTTCCCACATGACTGTAGGGTGTCAAAATTTAGTACTTTTTTCCAGTGAGTGTACTGTCAGCATGTACAGACTTATTCTCAAATCAGTTCTAAAACAAGACTTGTGCTTAGAGAGAAGGTACAGTCAATAGTTCTGCAAAGGACTCTTTAGTCTCATTTCTGGGATAGAAATTTGACTGCCAACCAACACCTG